GATTTATACAACCACTAGAAATTGCAGTTTCTTTAGCAAGAAATTCATAAATGTGACATCTAAATAATATGATACAAATCTCACCATGCATACCTTAGCTCCTGGCCCATGACTAAGCATAGGAAAGTTGAAAGCTACAAGGTTTGCAGAAGATGGATATGTAAGCTTTTACTGCATAAAAAAGTCTCAAAATGGGAAACTGGTGATGGTTTGTCTCATACGATGAGAAAAAAGTACTGTTAGTTCTCCTTCCTTCATGAATTCCATATCAGTGGGCAGTAATGTGTCCCAGGGCAGGTAAAAGAGCTGGTTCACATGCAGTTCTATCTCCTGTCTTCCCTCTCGGTCATGTTTTCTTATTGGAAGTAAGAGACAGCAGAGAGCCTATGAGCAGAGGGTTACACCAGAAATATATGTTTATGTGTACTGCGTTCCTGTGCATTGATATATATTGTTGTGGATTGCACTGTGTTAATGATTTTGTTAAACGAATTGGTCGTTAAGCGAGGAACTGTATACAGTACTGTACTGTATTAATACAGTACTGTAGTGTTGGAGATGTACAGAACTTTACAGTGTACTGTAAATCTGTAAATACAGTACCCTCCGAGAATAATAGAGGAGAATGGAGCACAGTAATGAAGTCGGTGAGATGCCGCACTGCCACTGCCACGTTCTCGCATGTATTGTAGGAGAGCTGGTCATAAGTGCGAGCGGTCGCTAAACAGGTAGGTTGTTAAGTGAGGAATAGCTGTGTATATATACACTGCAGGGCATTGGTAGACAATCTGACACAGAAAAATTTAGAATGTTTTTGCTATGTTAAAAATGCCCTGAATAATTTTCATCCATCCCTGAAACTTGATTGACACTGCACTGTCCTTGATTTGTTATCCTGTCTGGAAACAGCAATAGGCATTGGCCCGCAGGAAATTGTAAGAATCATCTATATACGCTAAACTGAAGAATTCTGATAAGTACAGCTCACCATTACTAAACTAAAACTTGTGCTCTCTTTTTATAGTCTTTTCTGACACAGTCTCCCTCTGTATAGTATAAAACAAGATATTTGGCATAGTATGCCTTCACTGCAGCACAGCATCGACATATATTTAGGTCTGTGGGACACGTCTCTTCTCCCACGCCGTTTACCTCTACATAAGAGCAGCTGAAGCTCTTGGGAAATCTCTGGCATGCGTTACATGATTGATATCCCGTCAGTGGTTTCACATTTAGTTTTTTATACACTGTTAGATTCATCAAAGATGCAGTATTTATGCAATGACTGCAGCAAACTTTGTTTGGCAACATTCCCAGGTTATTCCTGCCTTATAAAAACAAGCCACACCCGCTAGACTAGACTGTAAGCGTACTGTTCCTTTAATTATGGATTTTCCCACATCAACTGGAATCAGCCTGAAAATCTTACCATCACCTTATTCAAGCCATTTGTAGAGTTAATGTGGACGTATCACGCACAACTGCAAAAATTACAACACTACAGTCTGCTGCACTACCCTGACTGCAGTATACATTCATTGTCACAGAGTAACGTCAGCTATAAAATAATAATTCCATTTGTGTGCATCCAATGAAGTGGAAAATTGCTTGCAACCATTAAGAAGCTCTGCCCGACTATGAAAAATGTCACTGAAAACTGTTGACAGGCTTTCTCTGTGACATTACACTTTAGACACCTGTAATTTTTGTTATATGCATAGCTGCGCAATCAGTGTGAATATTTGTCCTTGTATCACAATAAGTCCTGTTCAAAATGATATTATTGTGCTCTCTTCATGACCACCACACAAACACACCCATCCATAACAACACAAGTTATAGGACAATTGCCTTTGGGATATAATCACCCCACTCTCTTCATATAAAGTAAGAAGACTCCTTCCTATGGTGGTATTACTCGTAAGGCCCCATTCACACTAAGCGATAAATCCCATGATTTCCGGCGCAATATTGCGCATTTTTGCCGCGCGATATCACGAGAAGTCGCCGGCCAATGTTATTCAATGGAGCTGTTCTAATGTACAGCTCCATGTCGACCGTCGTTTTCGCTTCAGCAGGACCCTTTTTCCCGCGGAAGTCGCGCAATTTTTCTATTTTTGAATGAAGCCCGACGGTTAAGGTCGCGCGATCGTCACTGGAACGTCGCCCGAACAGTCGCTATATCCCGCCGCGAGGAAATCCGCTCGAGGTGAGTGTTGCTCAGTGTGAATGGGGTCTAATACTGCGGGCTTAGGATGATATCAATTTCATGAATATAAAATTAACAATACTAATGTTAGGGCCACGGGAGGGACGCATAGGAGATGTGACCCCATGGGATTGTCACACTTTCAAAACAATAGATTATTTATTTTGATTTCATTTTAAGTACTGGAGTCAGTGCCGAAACTAGGGGGGTGCATGTGCCCCAGGTGTTGCATTGGGTGGGGGGAGGGAAACTAGTTAAAAAAAGATGCTGCCACCGCTGCGGCAATCACTCATGCCGCTCTTCCCTCTTGGCTGCTCTGTAGCTGCAGCAGCCGAGGAGGGGGGAGAAGCAGTTCAGCTGCCTTTGTAAGTGCCCGCTACACTGATCGGGCTGACTGGCGGAACGGACGGGGGAGGGGGCGGGTACAGCTGGCATTGCCTCTAGATAGGCAGAGCCCGCTGTCATTTGTGCAGCTGGGTGGATCTCGACAGTATTGTCGGGATCTGTCCTGGCTGCGGCGCTCTCAGTATAACGTGTGCAATAGCCTGTGATATACTGAGCTTTGGGTCACGGGAGGAGGTTAGCACATGTCCTCCCGTGACCCTAAAGAGAACTATGCGGAAAACCACTTACCCCATAGTTCTCTTTTAAGTGAATAAACTGAAGATAGAAGCTGATTGGTTACTGTGCAAAGCTGCTCCAGATTCTGTCTGCTCTAGTTTTAGGAAATTCCCCTCGCTATCTGTTCTTCCTTAAAGTGTGTTCCAGCACGCCATAATGCATTCTAGTGCAGCATGTGGCAGTGCATTTACCGGTTTCATTTTCACAAAGTGCACAGCAACGCAATCATTGGTGTACACTGGACCAGTTGGAAACAACAGATTTCAGCTTGTCATTGCACTGGACCTGTGTTGAGCCATGCAGTTCAATGCAGCCCAACAGATGTGGGTTCAATGGGCCCTAAAGCTCCTCCCTTAATATGCCAAAACAAAATAAATTAAGTAATTGTAACATTTATTTTCTCCTGCCTACAGATATTACTTAACCCTTTCGAGACCACGGGCGTACCAAGTATGTCGGAGGCAGCACGGCCCTGTAAACAGACTCCCGGCAGCTAAACTGTTTACCTTTCTAAAGCCAGCTGCCAGCTTTACAATAGAAGTGATTCTGGCTTAAGCTGCTGCCAGATCACTTCTATTGGGGCAGTAAAGTATCCGACCCCGCCTGACACCAGCATGTCGGGTGCTGGCGGGTATAAAATGTAGATTCTTTTTTTACTTTTTTTTTTACAGAAAGGCTGCAGTAAATCGGTCCTCCTTTAGATCATCTTAAATTTAGATGAGGTTAAGAAACTGCATTTAGCGTCACTCTACATACACCAGTATTGTGACGCCTCTCTTTCAGTTAAAAATATGTTACAGATAATCCTCCTATGTTAGTCAAGACAGAGGCTTTGAACTAGGCCAAGCAGGAATGAGCTAAAGCAAACCCCCCCATCTAGACAATTCTGCATTCTTAAAAAAACCAAATTCCTAGATCACTTACCTGTGAAGCGTAAATAAAATACTGCTCCAGATTCCACAGCAGTATGTTACCAGTTGCCTAGACATTTGATCACATGATCTAACCTTAAAGGGCTCAAGGACTGTGTGTGGTTACACGAGTTGTTGCTTAAGGAGAGCCGAGTAGTTTTTGCAGCACAGGTGAGTACTACAGCGCTTATTAATCTTAGTTATTACAAGTAACCTGGAGACAGGGTGGTCAGGATAGGAAACTGTATTTAAGTATTGGTCTGTTTTAAAGATAGGATAAAGATGGAGCCTGCCGCTACTTAAATAGTCTCTGTTTAAAGCTGAACTCCAGGACTAAAACTTTTACTTTTGCAGTGGGTGCCCCTCCCCACTGCAAGGGTTAACTTGTTTTCCCTAGGGGATGATGAATAAGATGATATACCTACCTTATTCCTTACTTTCTCTGCAGCTGGCACTCTCCTCTGCTGTCCTACGCTCTGGAATGTGGACAGGCCCTCGGTGTGCTCCCAAACAATGCAAGCCTGCTGGTCTTGCATTGTAGTACGGGATGACATCAGAGAGCTGTGACCGGCCTGGCAGCAAAGAGAAGAGGCTTTGGGGGACAAGTCACAGAAAGAGGAGGAACCCTGTGGTAGAAATATGGTAAGAACATCTCCTTATCCATCATCTTCTAGATGAGACAATCAGTTGACACTTGCATTGGGGGGGGGGAACCACTGCAAGGATAAAGGCTAGAGTTTAGCTTCACAGAAAAGAGCTTCTAATTATACATATAGCAAAGAGTGTATCCTGAATAAAATATGTCACACATGGATTGGGGGAATATATTGCTATACACATTTGTAGTTTTTCAGAAACTGAGAGGAAAGGAAGAGCCAGTCTTTCATCATACAATGCTGGGAACTCTGTAAGAGGAAGGGAAAAGTGGAGTGATTGGCTTCACAAACAAACACAGCCCTGTCTCGGACAGAGAGTCATAAAATGGCAGTACATTTTTAAAGAAAGTATACAAGTATTGATTTTATAAGGTAGTAAAAAAGCAATGACTATGCTAAACTTGTAGTAACCAATGTGATTTTATTTTACTGCCGTCAGATCAGTAAAAAACTAATTGAGTTTGGTTGCTTTGAATTACAGTACAGTCATGGCAGTTACACAGAGCTTTATTACTATCACTTTACCTCAGGTTTTTTTCTCCTCCACTATTAGAAAATATTACAAAACTTTCCCTCTCATCAGCTCATATGCTGTGCTCTTACCGGTCTTTCATGTTCAAGGATGGAGGACTTTCCAGGCTCATACTCAAATATGCTCCTGGGTTCAGATCGAAACATGCGCGTGTCAACCTTTCTGTCAGGTGGTTCCCATTCATTCCTTGAAGAACAAAATAAAGACACATGACTAAACTGTATCTGGAAATTAACAATAATTACCACTGCATAAGATAACTAGACTCAGTGTTACCCAAAAAAGGCAGTAACGTGTGGAACCCCATATACCACAACTCCAGGGTTCTACCTAAAACTAAGAATTACAGACATCCCAACTCTCCTGGACGCTCCGGGAGTCTCCCGCTATTAGATAGCGGCCCGGGAGAGAAACACTTCCTCCCGGAAAGGTTTAATCTGCTTGAGTGAGCAGAGCAAAGCTTTCCCTGCGATCGTTTTTTTTTCTTTTCCGACATCGGGAGCCACGGTCCGACCGTCAGTCAGAAAAGAAAAAAGGCATACGAATGCATAGCTAGATTCCTATTGGCTATTGCACTCTGCAATAGCCAATAGCAAACTAGCTAATGCACCCGCCCACTGCTGCTGTCAATCAGCAGAGGGGGACCTGAATTTTTCTATCAGGTCCTCTTCTGGTGATTGAAAGCAGCAGAGGGCGGGTGCAATAGCTAGTTTGCTATTGGCTATTGCAAAGTGAAATAGCCTATAGGAATCTAGCTATGCATTCTCTTATGCCTTTTTTTAAATTTTATTCTGACAACTGCAACTGGCAGAATACAAAAAAAGCAAAAAAAAAAAGCCTGCAGATAGCAAAGAAGCTATTGCTTCCTGTGCTATCTGTCATCATTTCAGGGGGGTGCTCTCTCCCAGCCCCCCTAACCCTCCCTCCGTGGATGGGAGGGTAGAGGGCACCTCCCTGAAATGAGAGGGACACCTCCCTGAAATTGCTTCTTTCAGGTTGGGATCCCTGGAATTATAATGTTGTAAACAGAATATTCTGCAGAGCTTTATGTTCTTACAGAGAAAACAAAGAAGTGTTTGCAATGCACGTTGCCTTACAGTCCAGTGTCCCTGCCAAAGTCATACACACAGGCACACTGCATTCAGTGGAAGCGGATGGGAGCCAGTCATCCTCATATGCTAATGGAATATGGGAGGAAATCCATACAGTTGTGCAGAGAACATAAGAACCCTGAACCAAGCTTTGCTGTCCCATGATACGCCTCCTGCTACTAAAATCTGGTTGTGTTGCTGCACAGCAAGGAAGGTCTTCCACTGCATTTTCATCATTCCACCTTAGTCCACAAATTGTATTATTATACAAGATTTATATAGTGGAAACAATTACAAAATAAAGGGAGCCAGTATAGTTACAATATAATATTTAAGCATTAGGAGGGCCCTGCTTATGAGAGCTACCAATGTAAAATATTACAAAACAGTAAAACAAGGTTTACAAAGGGATCACAGAAGGAGAAGAAGCCTCTGTGTTATTACAGGAGTTGCCGGGCAAATATGGAACACCCTTCAACGGAATTATTCAGATAACAGATGATTACCTAATAATTAGAACTTTAAATTATATTATTTAACTCCTATTTATATATTCTTGTGATTATCGGTTATACCTCAACTCAAAGCCATACTGTAATCTGGAGGAGCCCTAGAAATAAATGAATTGATATGAAAATATAATCACTGCCTTTGTTTATCTGCACGGTACACTAAACTGCAGAGAGGTGGGGATGTGCCATCTGCCTCACTTCTCACAGAACTGTTATTTGGAAAGTAGACAATTGATTTCTATTTCATCTGCAGAGAGGAGGTAGGTGCTATGCAACACTGCTTGTAACTGCTAAATATATTATACGCAGGTCCTCACTGCAGAGTTAGCATAGCTAGGCCAGTGCTATTAAACATTAGTTTTGGGCTATGTCTAGAAGGCAGTCTCAGGCAGCAAGTTTTATAGACAACAGGATGTGTACTAAAAAAAAATCGCAATGCCTTATTACAATATTCTAAACTATAGTGTATTGTATTTGTATTTATCATTTAGTTTTTGTTTTAGTGAAAAATGTTAAAATGTTTAAGTTGAGTTATGTAAGGAATGTGATGGGTGCTATTCCAGATGTAGCCTCAGGCATCATTACATGTCTGAATACCCCTACCCTTGCCTCATGTTAACATTTCAAGATGGTTTCTGCATACTGGTGGCCCCATCACCTTTTCATTAACTGAGCCAAATATAACAAATACATTTTGCTGGAATGTGATTTTCATAGAAGCCTTAGAATACTAACTATCCCAAATCCCATGAGAAGATGCTCTTGTGCTGAAGTGTCTTCTCGCACTGTTTGGGATCTTCATCACTCCCAGCATCTTACTGAAGGGACTGTGACATCACATCACCTTGGTATCGCAGGGAAAAGCGGAGGGTAATCTATAATATATTTCGTATTTATTTCTTATTTTTCTTGTACAGATGCTTTTGGCCACTTTAATGCAGATATTTCATATGGTGGGGGAGACTGATATCGGGCTTGGCAATGCCCATGATAGCAGCATATTTTCTGTGAGGGCATTATACAGAACTTATGGCATTTGAACAACATTTTACTAAAACTGCCAATGTGTCAGCCAAGGTGACAAGCGTGGCTACTAATATGACCCAGCATTGTTTATTGCATGTTCTATAGGCCTTCAAGTAGCATTCTGTGTTATAGAATAACATTTATTTGAAAAATATAAATACTGGCCATGAGAATCCTGGTTTTTATAGAGAATAGTAAATAGGTGACATTTTACAATACTCACTTCTCAGGAGAGGCCAGCTCCCGAGGGCGGAGGGGCACAGCCGGAGGAGGCACAGGTATGGGTGGAGGCAGCGGGGATGGCGCTCTCAATACATCAGTGCCATTGTCAGAGATACTTTTCGAGAGAGGACGGTATGTCTGTGTCTTTGCTGCAGGATGGGAATAGGCAGGAATGTAGTTTTCTGTTGCTAAAAATACATTGACTCATCAATTTAAATAAATAACATATTTTAAAAAAGCTAGTGAAATGCATTTGCAAAATTTAGATCAACCACAACAAATGATGTTTGTTTTTAAATCAACAACAATAGTATATGGCTAAATACTGCAAAGTAGATTTCCATACTTTTTTAAAACATTTTTATAACAAGCTCGATATTAAACAAGCCAAGATTGGACTACTAAGCTTTGTTAGGAACTGCATTACAACTGCACAGAGAGAAAACAAATCTACCAGAAAAAAATATGAACATTTTTCCATTGGGCACAATACACTACATACTTCAACAGCCTGTATGGGCAGAACTCCTTCCCTAATCCTATTTACAAACGGTATTATCTGACCTTAAGGATCCCTTGTTTGGTAGCGGAAGGACTCCAGATATCGCTGTACAAAGTCAGCTCTGGATTTAGTCTACACAGCACTGGTATTGGCAATCAGACGTTGGTGTGTCAGGATGACAACACAGGATTTGGGAGACAGGGGCAAAGAATAGTGACCATATATTAAGATGTGCCTCAGCAAGAACCTTCATGGCAGGATGACCAAGTATTCTTTTAATAAAATGTACAAATTTTAAGATATTGAAACTACACTAACAAATTAAAGCTTATATGATGTTTTAGAGACTGTGTTTACATATACAGTATGTACAGTTCATAATATGGCTGCTGTTGTTATCTCAGGTTGTCATTGTATTAGTGTCTACTGCACTGCATTGTGTTGTATTCCTAACATTATGAGCTTGCTTGAGGTGAGGAGATATCAGGGTGATGTTTCTCCTGTACTGTTCAATCAGAGAGGGTTAGTCATTAACCAAGGAATAATGCTTAACCTCAGTGCAGAAAAGTGAGGTTGACTACTTGGCTATGTTGTCTGGGAAGATCATCTGGATCAGAAGATCCAAAGACGAAATTAGCAGGTGAGTTCACATTAATGCATTTGAGCTCTGTATTTAGCTATATTTAAATGGTTGCCTGAAATGTACTTTAAGATTTCATGCAGAAACCAAAGTGTAACAGCTGTAATTACTGAGTGGAGATTGAAGTATCCAGGCAGACCCCTGAGTTAGATAATCATATAAACAGCAATACCTTTGTTTTATAACAGTGTTGTTAAACAATAAGGATACTAAAACATGTTGAACAATGTAAACACGTTTAACATAATTAACTACCTATTATCAGGTCACATTAAAGATATGTAGACATGGAAGAAAATAATGAACGGTTGGAATGTGTATTTGCAAGAAGTCCTTTGTTAATCTGTCAATTATTGTATAAAATAAATGTACTATACAAATACCATTGCTCATGAAACTACTATACTGTACAGGTAGTTGTGTGTGTTCCTATATGCAGGAGAGGTAAGTAGTATGTCTACATGAAAACTGATATTACGCAATATGGCCAGAAGTATGTGGACACCTGGCCATCACACACCTATTTATAAAGCCAAAAGTATATGGGGACCCCTCTGTGTGATTGACTACAGGTTTTCCAATGAAGGGCACTATTTAAGCTACAGCATACTAAAATATTTTACACAGTTTGGTGAAGGCCCCTTTTTTGTCCCTGCAGGACTGTGACCCTGTGCACAAAGCCAGGTCCATAAAGACATTGTTTGAATAATTTGGTGTGGAGAAATAAGGGTGGTTTGTATGCATACCCGGCCTAAATCCTACTGAACAGCTGTGGGATGAATTGGAACACAGAATCCAACATTTTCTGGAAATGCCTTTCCCGAAATGTGAAAGCTGTTTTAATTACATATGTGGATCCAACTTCATATTAATGCTCATGGTTATGTAAAGGGAAGTCCAACAAGCTCATATACCTGTGATAGACAGGTGTCCATAAACATTTCACCATATGTGTGTGTGTGTATAACTAGCATTACTCACCTGTATTATATGCATAGCTTGTGTTGGAATAATCACTGTCATTGTCTGTAAAAGAAAAAAAAGATCACTGTGTGAGTCTGTAGCGTGGATCAGTGCAACCTTTACTTTAAAGTCCATTTCCACCTCTGTAAATGATGAGCATTTATTGTGGTAATGTAGAGGTGCAGTGATGATGCATATGTATGCACATTTTCACGATTCAAATTGCAGGCTTTCCTCATTTTTTAAATGAACTTTTCACAGGAAAATCAGTCAGACACCAGGGTCAGATTGTAATTAGGCTGTACACAGCTCTCCCCCTACCTTTTATTCATTGGTAGGGGGAGAATCAGCAAAACACCAGCTCTGCCTTTGCACACAATACATTGTCTGGGGAAAGGGGGGGGGAGTGACACTATGAATAATAATGAATGGGAGAGCTCACACAGAGCTTGCAAAACACAGAGGCTATTTGCATGAGAATATAAAGAGGAAAGCTACCAAAAAAAATGTAAGTTTATGTTTTCATATAGATCAACTGCATATGCCTGCTTCATGAACACTATGTGTTTATTGCTGGCATATGTTTTGTTTTTTTTAAATACCTCTGCAAAAGGTGGAAATGGGCTTTAAACTCAAAACTCAATTTAGATCAAGAATTACTTCTGCCTTCTCTTTTATGTTTCATGGTTCAGCTCATTTCATAGCTCATCTCTCTTTAGAGTGATTGCATATCCATTGATTCACCTTGTTTTTTCCTTGCCCTTGTCATTATAATGCATTGCCTAGCTCTGAACAATGGATAACAGACAAGTGCAGTAACATTGTATTAAAGTCTTCAATAATAGCCTAGTGTGGATAAATATTTGCCAAGCTCCTATAGAAGAAACACCCTTTAAAGCTTGCTTCATGATGTATAAAAGTAATTGTGATCTGGTGTTTGAAAAAAACATAGTCAAATTACAGGAGCAATGCTGATCACGACATATTATGAACATTCATTTTCCTAGCGCTTTTTTAAATGTTACGATGACATTCATAGCATTTTGATGAGCATTTACATGCCTTGCTCCCTTCCAGTTCTGCTGGACCTCCATCTTTAATCCACAGTCATGTGTATAGGGATTCTCTAGTGAACAGAAATCAATAACAGAGGGACAAAAGACAGTATATATGTGTAAGTAATCTAAGATGCACAGAGCTATTTTAGATTTAGAGCCTGTGCACATGAGCACCATGGCCGAAGGGGCATATTGAACCAAAAAGCTCAATACATTAAAGCAGTTAGCCAAGCTGTTGTTTTTCCTACATGCTTAGAAGAATGGTGCCTGCAGCATCTGACAGGTACTGATTCTGTGGCACCTGTCAATTGGCAATGGAACTTGTGGAGTGTGAAATCAGCTGACCTGATGCACATCTAAGAGAAGAGTTCAGAGTGCACTTTATACCCAACATTTGTCTCCAATGTATCTATATTCATCCAGTGTGTAAGATTGCGTCAGATCCCACAACCTAAGGAAAATAATTATTTGATCCCCTGCAGATTTTGTAAGTTTACCCACTTACAAAGAATATAATTTTTATCATAGGTGTATATTTTAAATGATAGAGACAGAATATCAACCAAAAATCCAGAAAAACACAGGATACAAATGTTATAAATTGAGTTGCAGTTCAGTGAGCAAAATAAGTATTTGATCCCCAATTAAAACATGGCTTAGTATTTGGTGGAGAAACCCTTGGTGGCAAGCACAGAGGTAAGACGTTTCTTGTAGTTGGTTACCAGGTTTGCACACATCTCAGGAGGGATTTTTGTCCACTCTTCTTTACATATCTTCTCTAAATCCTTAAGGTTTCTTGGCTGTCGTTTGGCAACTCGAAGTTTCAGCTCCCTCCATAAATTTTCTATAGGATTAAGGTCTGGAGACTGGCTAGGCCACTCCATGACCTTAATGTGCTTCTTCTTGACCCACTGCTTTGTTGCCTTGGCGGTATGTTTTGGGTCATTGTCATGCTGAAAGAACCATCCACTACCATTCTTCAGTGTTCTGGCTGAGGGAAGGAGGTTCTTATCCAAGATTTTACAATGGCCATGACCCTGTCCATTGGCACCTCGATGCAGCACAGTCAGCCTGTAGCTTTAGCAGAAAAACAGCCCCAAACCATAATGTTTCCACCTCCGTGCTTGACTGTAGGGATGGTGTTCTTAGCGTCATAGTCAGCATTTTTCTTCCTCCAAACACGGCGAGTCGAGTTAATGCCAAAGAGCTCAATTTTGGTCTCATCTGACTGCAGCACTTTCTCCCAATCCTTCTCTGAATCATTTAGATGTTCATTGGCAAACTTCAGACGGGCCTGTTCATGTGCCCTCTTTAGGAGGGGGACCATGCGGGCGCTGCAGGATCTCAATCTATGGCGGTGTATTGCAATGGTTTGTTTGTTGACTGTGGTCCCAACTGCCTTGAGATGATTCACAAGCTCCTCCCGTGTAGTTCTTGGCTGATCCCTCACTTTCCTCACGATCATCCTTACCCCATGAGGCCAAATCCTGCATGAAGCTCCAGACCGTGGGCAATTGATGGTTATTGATGGTTATTTTGTATTCCTTCCATTTGTGAATAATCGCTCCAACAATAATCTCACCAAGAGATTGACGCTGGATTACATCGATGGAGCCATTTTTTTTTTAAAATTAAAGGAATAGTCAAAAATTGAGTCTCTGTTTTTTGTTTCAATTAAAGGATTTTATCTAAAAGTCTGGACTTTTTACTAACTATTTGATTTAACCCTTTAGTGAATGGGTAGGGGTACAAGAACCCGTTACTCATTCACAAGGGGGGAGGGCGGCATCTGGATGCCCCCTTATTTAAAGGGGTACCCCGATGCAAATAAGCCCCCTTGCCCGCAGCCCCCCACAACCACCGGGTCAGGGTTGTGAGGAAGAGGCCCTTGTCCCCATCGGCACGGGGACACCCTCCCAATGCCGAGGGCACGTGGCCTGGTAAGGCGCAGGGAGGGGGGGCGCTCGATCGCCCCCCCCCTTTCCTGTCCTGCCGGGCCAGTGCTCGGATCAAGGGTCTGGTAGGACTGTTAGGGGGGACCCCACATTTTTTCCCCATTTTGGGGGGCTGGGGTTCCCCCTTAAAATTCCTACCAGACCTAAAGGGTCTGGTATGAATTGGTATGTCACTTTGCTGCTAACGAAATTTCGTCCAATAAACGAAATTTCGACTGGACTACCGCTAACAAATTTCGGGAAATTGGTAATTCGGATTCGTTTACATTCGTTTTAGCTGTAATTCGGAATTCGGATGCATCCGAATTTCGATTTAATTCGTTTTAGCTGTAATTCAGAATTTGGATGCATCCAAATCTCAGAATTTCCCAAAATGCGTCCGAATTTCGATTCGGAACGAAATGCACATGTCTAGTATGCAGGACACAGGGAGTAATACTGGTGGCCCCATCACCTTTTCATTAACTGAGCCAAATATAACAAATACATTTTGCTGGAATGTGATTTTCATAGAAGCCTTAGAATACTAACTATCCCAAATCCCATGAGAAGATGCTCTTGTGCTGAAGTGTCTTCTCGCACTGTTTGGGATCTTCATCACTCCCAGCATCTTACTGAAGGGACTGTGACATCACATCACCTTGGTATCGCAGGGAAAAGCGGAGGGTAATCTATAATATATTTCGTATTTATTTCTTATTTTTCTTGTACAGATGCTTTTGGCCACTTTAATGCAGATATTTCATATGGTGGGGGAGACTGATATCGGGCTTGGCAATGCCCATGATAGCAGCATATTTTCTGTGAGGGCATTATACAGAACTTATGGCATTTGAACAACATTTTACTAAAACTGCCAATGTGTCAGCCAAGGTGACAAGCGTGGCTACTAATATGACCCAGCATTGTTTATTGCATGTTCTATAGGCCTTCAAGTAGCATTCTGTGTTATAGAATAACATTTATTTGAAAAATATAAATACTGGCCATGAGAATCCTGGTTTTTATAGAGAATAGTAAATAGGTGACATTTTACAATACTCACTTCTCAGGAGAGGCCAGCTCCCGAGGGCGGAGGGGCACAGCCGGAGGAGGCACAGGTATGGGTGGAGGCAGCGGGGATGGCGCTCTCAATACATCAGTGCCATTGTCAGAGATACTTTTCGAGAGAGGACGGTATGTCTGTGTCTTTGCTGCAGGATGGGAATAGGCAGGAATGTAGTTTTCTGTTGCTAAAAATACATTGACTCATCAATTTAAATAAATAACATATTTTAAAAAAGCTAGTGAAATGCATTTGCAAAATTTAGATCAACCACAACAAATGATGTTTGTTTTTAAATCAACAACAATAGTATATGGCTAAATACTGCAAAGTAGATTTCCATACTTTTTTAAAACATTTTTATAACAAGCTCGATATTAAACAAGCCAAGATTGGACTACTAAGCTTTGTTAGGAACTGCATTACAACTGCACAGAGAGAAAACAAATCTACCAGAAAAAAATATGAACATTTTTCCATTGGGCACAATACACTACATACTTCAACAGCCTGTATGGGCAGAACTCCTTCCCTAATCCTATTTACAAACGGTATTATCTGACCTTAAGGATCCCTTGTTTGGTAGCGGAAGGACTCCAGATATCGCTGTACAAAGTCAGCTCTGGATTTAGTCTACACAGCACTGGTATTGGCAATCAGACGTTGGTGTGTCAGGATGACAACACAGGATTTGGGAGACAGGGGCAAAGAATAGTGACCATATATTAAGATGTGCCTCAGCAAGAACCTTCATGGCAGGATGACCAAGTATTCTTTTAATAAAATGTACAAATTTTAAGATATTGAAACTACACTAACAAATTAAAGCTTATATGATGTTTTAGAGACTGTGTTTACATATACAGTATGTACAGTTCATAATATGGCTGCTGTTGTTATCTCAGGTTGTCATTGTATTAGTGTCTACTGCACTGCATTGTGTTGTATTCCTAACATTATGAGCTTGCTTGAGGTGAGGAGATATCAGGGTGATGTTTCTCCTGTACTGTTCAATCAGAGAGGGTTAGTCATTAACCAAGGAATAATGCTTAACCTCAGTGCAGAAAAGTGAGGTTGACTACTTGGCTATGTTGTCTGGGAAGATCATCTGGATCAGAAGATCCAAAGACGAAATTAGCAGGTGAGTTCACATTAATGCATTTGAGCTCTGTATTTAGCTATATTTAAATGGTTGCCTGAAATGTACTTTAAGATTTCATGCAGAAACCAAAGTGTAACAGCTGTAATTACTGAGTGGAGATTGAAGTATCCAGGCAGACCCCTGAGTTAGATAATCATATAAACAGCAATACCTTTGTTTTATAACAGTGTTGTTAAACAATAAGGATACTAAAACATGTTGAACAATGTAAACACGTTTAACATAATTAACTACCTATTATCAGGTCACATTAAAGATATGTAGACATGGAAGAAAATAATGAACGGTTGGAATGTGTATTTGCAAGAAGTCCTTTGTTAATCTGTCAATTATTGTATAAAATAAATGTACTATACAAATACCATTGCTCATGAAACTACTATACTGTACAGGTAGTTGTGTGTGTTCCTATATGCAGGAGAGGTAAGTAGTATGTCTACATGAAAACTGATATTACGCAATATGGCCAGAAGTATGTGGACACCTGGCCATCACACACCTATTTATAAAGCCAAAAGTATATGGGGACCCCTCTGTGTGATTGACTACAGGTTTTCCAATGAAGGGCACTATTTAAGCTACAGCATACTAAAATATTTTACACAGTTTGGTGAAGGCCCCTTTTTTGTCCCTGCAGGACTGTGACCCTGTGCACAAAGCCAGGTCCATAAAGACATTGTTTGAATAATTTGGTGTGGAGAAATAAGGGTGGTTTGTATGCATACCCGGCCTAAATCCTACTGAACAGCTGTGGGATGAATTGGAACACAGAATCCAACATTTTCTGGAAATGCCTTTCCCGAAATGTGAAAGCTGTTTTAATTACATATGTGGATCCAACTTCATATTAATGCTCATGGTTATGTAAAGGGAAGTCCAACAAGCTCATATACCTGTGATAGACAGGTGTCCATAAACATTTCACCATATGTGTGTGTGTGTATAACTAGCATTACTCACCTGTATTATATGCATAGCTTGTGTTGGAATAATCACTGTCATTGTCTGTAAAAGAAAAAAAAGATCACTGTGTGAGTCTGTAGCGTGGATCAGTGCAACCTTTACTTTAAAGTCCATTTCCACCTCTGTAAATGATGAGCATTTATTGTGGTAATGTAGAGGTGCAGTGATGATGCATATGTATGCACATTTTCACGATTCAAATTGCAGGCTTTCCTCATTTTTTAAATGAACTTTTCACAGGAAAATCAGTCAGACACCAGGGTCAGATTGTAATTAGGCTGTACACAGCTCTCCCCCTACCTTTTATTCATTGGTAGGGGGAGAATCAGCAAAACACCAGCTCTGCCTTTGCACACAATACATTGTCTGGGGAAAGGGGGGGGGAGTGACACTATGAATAATAATGAATGGGAGAGCTCACACAGAGCTTGCAAAACACAGAGGCTATTTGCATGAGAATATAAAGAGGAAAGCTACCAAAAAAAATGTAAGTTTATGTTTTCATATAGATCAACTGCATATGCCTGCTTCATGAACACTATGTGTTTATTGCTGGCATATGTTTTGTTTTTTTTAAATACCTCTGCAAAAGGTGGAAATGGGCTTTAAACTCAAAACTCAATTTAGATCAAGAATTACTTCTGCCTTCTCTTTTATGTTTCATGGTTCAGCTCATTTCATAGCTCATCTCTCTTTAGAGTGATTGCATATCCATTGATTCACCTTGTTTTTTCCTTGCCCTTGTCATTATAATGCATTGCCTAGCTCTGAACAATGGATAACAGACAAGTGCAGTAACATTGTATTAAAGTCTTCAATAATAGCCTAGTGTGGATAAATATTTGCCAAGCTCCTATAGAAGAAACACCCTTTAAAGCTTGCTTCATGATGTATAAAAGTAATTGTGATCTGGTGTTTGAAAAAAACATAGTCAAATTACAGGAGCAATGCTGATCACGACATATTATGAACATTCATTTTCCTAGCGCTTTTTTAAATGTTACGATGACATTCATAGCATTTTGATGAGCATTTACATGCCTTGCTCCCTTCCAGTTCTGCTGGACCTCCATCTTTAATCCACAGTCATGTGTATAGGGATTCTCTAGTGAACAGAAATCAATAACAGAGGGACAAAAGACAGTATATATGTGTAAGTAATCTAAGATGCACAGAGCTATTTTAGATTTAGAGCCTGTGCACATGAGCACCATGGCCGAAGGGGCATATTGAACCAAAAAGCTCAATACATTAAAGCAGTTAGCCAAGCTGTTGTTTTTCCTACATGCTTAGAAGAATGGTGCCTGCAGCATCTGACAGGTACTGATTCTGTGGCACCTGTCAATTGGCAATGGAACTTGTGGAGTGTGAAATCAGCTGACCTGATGCACATCTAAGAGAAGAGTTCAGAGTGCACTTTATACCCAACATTTGTCTCCAATGTATCTATATTCATCCAGTGTGTAAGATTGCGTCAGATCCCACAACCTAAGGAAAATAATTATTTGATCCCCTGCAGATTTTGTAAGTTTACCCACTTACAAAGAATATAATTTTTATCATAGGTGTATATTTTAAATGATAGAGACAGAATATCAACCAAAAATCCAGAAAAACACAGGATACAAATGTTATAAATTGAGTTGCAGTTCAGTGAGCAAAATAAGTATTTGATCCCCAATTAAAACATGGCTTAGTATTTGGTGGAGAAACCCTTGGTGGCAAGCACAGAGGTAAGACGTTTCTTGTAGTTGGTTACCAGGTTTGCACACATCTCAGGAGGGATTTTTGTCCACTCTTCTTTACATATCTTCTCTAAATCCTTAAGGTTTCTTGGCTGTCGTTTGGCAACTCGAAGTTTCAGCTCCCTCCATAAATTTTCTATAGGATTAAGGTCTGGAGACTGGCTAGGCCACTCCATGACCTTAATGTGCTTCTTCTTGACCCACTGCTTTGTTGCCTTGGCGGTATGTTTTGGGTCATTGTCATGCTGAAAGAACCATCCACTACCATTCTTCAGTGTTCTGGCTGAGGGAAGGAGGTTCTTATCCAAGATTTTACAATGGCCATGACCCTGTCCATTGGCACCTCGATGCAGCACAGTCAGCCTGTAGCTTTAGCAGAAAAACAGCCCCAAACCATAATGTTTCCACCTCCGTGCTTGACTGTAGGGATGGTGTTCTTAGCGTCATAGTCAGCATTTTTCTTCCTCCAAACACGGCGAGTCGAGTTAATGCCAAAGAGCTCAATTTTGGTCTCATCTGACTGCAGCACTTTCTCCCAATCCTTCTCTGAATCATTTAGATGTTCATTGGCAAACTTCAGACGGGCCTGTTCATGTGCCCTCTTTAGGAGGGGGACCATGCGGGCGCTGCAGGATCTCAATCTATGGCGGTGTATTGCAATGGTTTGTTTGTTGACTGTGGTCCCAACTGCCTTGAGATGATTCACAAGCTCCTCCCGTGTAGTTCTTGGCTGATCCCTCACTTTCCTCACGATCATCCTTACCCCATGAGGCCAAATCCTGCATGAAGCTCCAGACCGTGGGCAATTGATGGTTATTGATGGTTATTTTGTATTCCTTCCATTTGTGAATAATCGCTCAAACAATAATCTCACCAAGAGATTGACGCTGGATTACATCGATGGAGCCATTTTTTTTTTAAAATTAAAGGAATAGTCAAAAATTGAGTCTCTGTTTTTTGTTTCAATTAAAGGATTTTATCTAAAAGTCTGGACTTTTTACTAACTATTTGATTTAACCCTTTAGTGAATGGGTAGGGGTACAAGAACCCGTTACTCATTCACAAGGGGGGAGGGCGGCATCTGGATGCCCCCTTATTTAAAGGGGTACCCCGATGCAAATAAGCCCCCTTGCCCGCAGCCCCCCACAACCACCGGGTCAGGGTTGTGAGGAAGAGGCCCTTGTCCCCATCGGCACGGGGACACCCTCCCAATGCCGAG